GCTGAACTCTGAAGTAAGTGGCTATAGTAGTAGTGGGTTTTTACATGCTCTTTCCTCTTTGCTAACTTTTGCTTTCTCTCTCTCTCTCCTGAATCTCCTTTCTTCCCTTCCTTCCCTCCCTTCAATTCTTTTCCCTGTGGGGCCAGCAGCCAGGCCAGCCCTGCCTCAGAGCAGAAGCCCACTGGGCAGGAAAGCCCAGCCCCCGCCCCTGCCTCCAGCGCCACCTCCACCTCGCAGGGAAAGCAGCTTCCAGCCAGCACTGCAGGGGGGAGCCCCTGGGGCAGCGGATCCTCTGTGCCTGCCCTGCTGCCTCACCCCACCCCTGCCTCTCGGACCTCCACACCTGGCCCCCCGAAGGCATCGCAGACCATAGAAAAGCTGCCCTATGTGCCCCACAGCCCCTTCCACCTCTTCTCCTATGACTTTGAGGATTCACCCTTATCCACCAAGGAAAAGGAAGCCGAGGCCCAGAAGGAAAGCAGGTAGATCAGCTTGTGTGGAGGCGCGCGTGAGATTAACCCGGGGATGGAAGCACAGCCTGTTAACCGCATCGCTTGTCTTGTCTTCTGCTGATTGTGTGGATTTGGTTAGCGCAGAGCGCAGCTGTGGCATGAACTAACTCCCTGACCACTCACTAAATATCTACCAGTCGTTAGGCACGATGCACAAGAAAAGTGTCATCTGTTCAAATTAAAGGGCTTATGTAATAATACAATTACTAAAAGTGGAAATTTTCCCCCTTTTCTTTTTTAAATATATTTTTTTATTGATTTCAGAGAGGAAGGGAGAGGGAGAAAAAGGAAGGGAGAGGGAGAAAAAGATAGAAACATCAATGATGAGAGAGAATCATTGATCGGCTGGAGATCGAGACCACAACCTGGGCATGTGCCCTGACCCAGAATCACATCTGTGACCTTTGGTTCTTGGGTCAATGCTCAACTGCTGAGCCACACCTGACTGGGCTAAAAATGGGTTTTCAGTGTAAAGTTTGAAACTGTGCATGGTCTGGCCTAATCGACGCATCTCACACCCGCCTGTCTGGCTTGGGTCCTTTTGACGTGCAGAATTCAGCAAAGTGCTTAGTCACTTCCCATGCAGCGTTTTGAGTGGGGCGCTCTTTCCTTTAACAGTGGCTCTGATTCCCTCCATCTGAGCACATATTCTGCCTCTGATCCTTACAACTTCCGGTCTTTCTCTTCTAATAGGTAGGTGTCTTTATTTTCTTTCCTTTTTCTATAGCTTTCTTTTAATTCTAAATATGCATTTTTTTTCTTTCAAAGATTGCTCATAGCCTCCCATGAGATGGCAAACAATTGCAGTTGGAATCACTTCGTGGACATTAATACAATGACATCACTTAAAGTGTGAACACTTCAATAATTCTTATAAAAATTGGAGAGGCAGGCAGGGGGAGAGAGGTGTGTAAGTCAAAACTTCACAGGGAATTTTCAGCAGTGCCTGTCAGCTTGCCTGTGTGCCTTTCCTTCACCAATGCCTGGATTGGAAACTGCTGCAGAGCAGGGAATGGGGAACAGAGGGTTGTATATTTTGAGCCATCAATTGTCCAAAATCAATTACTGCTAACGCTGGTAGCCACTCCCATCTTAGAGTAATAATAATCATTGCTAACATTTATTGAGCATTTATGCCTGTACTTTCCATAAAATTGGTGCTTTAAAGTATCACTTAACCATTAAGAGGTAGGTTCTATTGCTCGCCCTTATTTACAAAAGAGGAAACTGAGGCACAGAGAGGCTGGATAAGTGGACCAGGTTAGGACCAGGCAGCCTGCTCCAAAGCCTGGTCCTAACCTGTACATCATATAGGCCTCTCTCTTAGGCAGTCTGTCCCTCTGTCTCCTTTGTGGACTCATGGACACAACTCCTAATCCCAGGCCCAACCTGGCCATGCCCTGCCTCCAAGAGTCTGTGGATTCCAGTTCAAACATCTCCCAATTACAAGTTCCCGACCAGCCTCTTCCAGATTTAACAGTCTTGGATTATTGTCATCTTTCCCACAATGTCTATGGATTGCCTCCAACGTGGCTTGTATGGCCTCTGAGAACAGGATCTCTGTGCAAGTTAAGAGCTGTACGCTTCACTGGAATAAAAATATCTTGGCAACCGCATTTCCCCCAGCAGGGTGGTGTTTGCTCATGATGGCGATCCAGGACTTTCTGGTGATGGTATCACAGCCTCTGATGGGGCTTTCCTGGGACCCAGGTTCCTCAAACTTGGTCTTCAAGCTTCACTACCACTTACAGCCCTTGGGGGAGGGAGCAGTAGAAACATATAAATTGATGACACGAGTATACATGGAAATTGCGAAAAGCAGCCACGCTTGTGAATGAGAACTGATTTAGATTGAACTGAGAAAAGTTTATAATCTTTAAATATTTGACAGGAATTTGAATACTGTCTAAATATTGTTTGTTCCCATTAATTTTCTGATGGTTTTCGTGGATGACTGAAATTAAACGGGTTATAATGGAGACCAACCAGTTAGTCATTGAAAATTAGAAAAAGAAAAGAAAACTGAATAGTGAATTGCAGGATCCAGTTAGTTTCTCTGAAATGGAGAAGCAAAACTGGACAGGCTGTGAGGTATTTGAATTAATTGCTCGCCATTAGAAAGACCAAAGGAGGAGGGAAAGCATTTTGCTTGCCTTATTTCCATAGCATCATTTTAACATAATTTTAGTAAAATAATCCTGTTAAAACAGTCCACCCGATGCCCACTTTTGGTCGGAAGGGACTTGTTTTTGTTGCGTAGAATAACCAGCCGGGAGTCCAGGCAGCTGGGACCCAGGGTGAAGCCTGAGCTCAGGGCCAGGCCCCCCAAGGACTCAGCTCCGATTGGGGGGCAGCCTCCTTCCCACCACATCGCGCCTTTTGCTGCCTCCTCCCTTCTCTCCCTCTTCTTCACTCCTGAGCTTTTCTCTTTCTTCTCTGCTTCTTCCTATCTTTGTACGTTCTTCCCATCCTTTGCTTTCCTGCCTTCTCTGTGGCCTGTGGTTTGGGCATCTTCTTGAAAAATCAAATCCACACTCAGGGAAGCAGTGGGACATGTGCAGTGTTGGGTTTTTTTAAGAGAAGAGAAAATAAATGCCAGAAACCAAGTCCTGTGAAGGTGGTGTGTGCAATGAGCAGACAATGGAGTAACACTGTGGATCTGGGTCCCCATCTGCCTGGTGGAAGGCCTGGTACTGAGCACAGGCCTCATGTGTGGTACCAAATAAGCAAGTATGAGAAACAGCCAGCACACAAGACTTAACAAGGATAGATTTGGGGAAATGGAAATACTTCATTTCTCATTATAATAGTATAATTTATTAAGAAAAACTGACATTGCCCTAACCGGTTTGGCTCAGTGGATAGAGCGTTGGCCTGTGGACTGAGGGGTCCCAGGTTTGATTCTGGTCAAGGGCATGTACCTTGATTGTGGGCATATCCCCAGTAGGGGGTATGCAGGAGGCAGCTGATAGATGTTTATTTCTCATCGATGTTTCTAACTCTCTATCCCTCTCCCTTCCTCTCTGTAAAAGTCAATAAAATATATTTTTTTAAAAAAGAAAAACTGACATTTTATCTCCTACACTTTTAAAAATCTGTTTTTTACACTTTTTTTCTACACAAAGTTGTGATCAAACTTAGTGTATATAGTGTATATTATATCTTGATGTTTTAATTCAGCCCACATATATATGTAGATATGAACATTTAGATATATACATTTCCCATGTTATCACTTACAAAATTGGCAATAACTTCTAATGGTTGCATAATATTCCGTTGATGAGTAATATATCATACTTTCTTACCAATTCTTGCATTGTTAGCTAGTTGGGTAGTTTCCAGTTTTCATTATGATCTTCATAATGTTCCCTGCATGACATTTTTTTGTACATAAATAACCATAAGGGTTATGATAACTCCCCAAAAGTAGACTTACTCTGTCAAAAGATATCTTATTGAGGTCTAATGGCTTCCCAGAATGGTTAGTACTGATTTCTGTCGGCAAGAGTTTGGGCTGGATTCAGCATGTGCAGGAAGGTCTTTGTGCACTTACATCATCGTGACCCTTGAGGTCCCAACTATCCAAATACAAATGACCCTTGAGGTCCCATATCCCCAAATACAAGGTCCCTAACTGGTTCAGGGGAAGGAGTGGCTGAGTCGTTTGAGAGGCAAAGTTCTCTGAATCTTGTTATTTGTAATTAATCATTAGTGTCTACCCCAGGCAAGGACTTCCAATGCTAATTTGTGTTCTGGGAATTCACTGAGTAAAGATGGCCAAATACAGCCTGCTAAAGGGCATCTATTCTGAAAAACAAAGAAAACTCTAGAATTCTTCAAATCCTGAAACTTATAAAAGATGATTGTGAAATGATGAAAGCTCATTTAAACCTAGTGGCTGTAATGTTATTCCTGGGGAAATATTGAATGAAAACATAGACACTTGCACCTTTTAGCAGCAGGCTAATCCAGAAGCCCCAGGGACATCTTATTCTTCGTCACCAGCCACACAATGAGATTATATCTAATGAATGAAACTGATTCAGAAATACCTAAAGCAGAATTTTTAATCAGATGTTTCTTTAGCCAATCACCTGGCATTTTCTACCGATCTTGAATAGATTTAGTGCTAATTGTACCACCGGAAAGGCAAGAAAACTCTTCATGATTCAAATGAAAATAATTTGGATTATAATTTATGTTAGCAAATAGTTTGCTGTACATGAGTGCCTTATTAAACCCTTTGTCAGAATCCTGCTGCTTAATGGGTTTGGACTTTGGGGACCATCTCTACTGAGAAATAAACAAAACAAAACAGTTAGTAAATTTTTTTTTTTTTGGCGTTAGTGCAATCACTGACAGTGTTAGCATTTCCAGACCTGTTTCTCTTGGAAAATTTAAGATAATTTGCGATTCCTTATTTACTGACTTGTACTCATTTCTCTGTCTCCCCTTGCTCCCAACTTAATTCTTTGCACTCTTTAGATACAACAACTTTGGCAACCACTCTTATCACTCTTCAAGACCTTCGTCTGGATCCGCTGTGCCCACTGCTTCTACATCATCTCTTCCAACCCCCCAGGAGCCCAGGCTGGACAGGTGGGTCTTATCTTATAGGGAGCATTCTGATAGCTTCACTGTCTTCATGTAAAGGGGATCCATTTGATGAAGAGTGCCTAACGGAAAAGTGTCAATGAAAGTATAATCTGGAGTATTTTCCTTTCCAGAATATATCCCACAGGCAAGACTGTTTTCTTTCTTTCACACTATTTAGTAAGTAAATATTTTATTGGAGATATTTTGTTATTATTATCTCATCTCCCTACCCACTTTCCATGGAAAGTATAGAACTATTTTTCCAAAACATTTAAATGTAAATGATTTGATTTACCCCTCAAAAGCTGTTCTAGATCTAGCGTAAGCTCTGCAATTTGTCTTACGCACATCAATTTTCACCTCTGAATGATTAATTCTGTGTACATCGTTAGTGGGCCCATTAAGGTGTTGTGTAATTAATCCAGGACCTACCAGAAGAGAAAAGAATTGTATGGGTCCAGGGAAGGAATTTAACTTGGCAGGAGTATTAGACCACCAGAAATTACCTTACTCTTACTCCTGATTGCACAAGGATGTGTTCACAAGGGAAGGGTAGGTAGGACCTGTAATTTTAGAACAGTTGAAAACAGTTACCCTTATATGGCAAGAGTGCTGAGTTAGAGAACACTGGCTAGGGCCCCAACTCACTGGAAAGTTATTGCATCCTAAGGGTAAAATGCCAATTCTGCCAAACCTTACCTTAGGCAGTGGTTCTCAACCTTCCTAATGCCGCATCCCTTTAATGCAGTTCCTCATGTTGTGGTGAACCCCAACCATAAAATTATTTTCGTTGTTACTTCATAACTGTAATTTTGCTACTGTTATGAATCGTAATGTAAATATCTGATATGCAGGATGTATTTTCATTGTTCGCAACCCACAGGCTTAGAGGGTGGTTTTGATGAACAGATGAAAGGTACAGGTGAAGGTGCTCTGTGAACCCCCTGCCCCCGTGTGGGTCCCATGGGAAGTGACAATGTGTTATGATGGAGTATAATGTCCAACAGCTCATGATTGGTCAGAAATCTAGACAGAAATGATGCCCTGGGGGTCATTTGCTGCAAATCCTGAATCTAAAACACATTCAATCTGTGTACCGCATTCTGGTCTTCTCCTGTGTATCAGAGGGTGTGTTTGGCCAAGTGCTGCTGGTGATGAGAGATTTGGTCAGGATGTGGAGCAGGCAAGACCTCACAGCCCCAGGAAAAAGGGCTGTCCAATGTGGTTTGCCCGGCCACCCCTCAGCATTAATTTCTAAGATGCTATGTAAGCCCCAGGTTGTCAAACTCTCAGGTTCCACAGCCCAGTGTGGCCCTGGCCTGGGCATATTCAGGCTCAGTTAGGTCTTGGTAATGAGGTCACAAGGTGATTACCCTGCAGACACCCTCTGTCCTTTACCCTGGGGCACCTCTTCTTGGGGTCAGCTGAGGTTGCCTGTGCTCCCAGAGAGGTCACTAATAAAGAAGATCCTTGTCATATGGGATGGAGGATTTGGGGCCAAAGTGAGGAATATGAGAGCCTGACCCATCTTACAGGAGACATCTCACACCCGTGAGGCTGCCAGCTCCTCGGGAGTGGGCAGCAGGATCCATTCCGTGCTGTGTCCTCCACAGTACCCAACTCTGGCCACAGCAGAGCGGCAGCCAATGCTGGGTAATTGGGTGAATTGCCCACTCATTGGTTGGGGAACTGTTTGGAGGCCCTTGAAGATGAGAAGTTATAAGGACAGGAGGTCTGCAAATTTCCAAAGTCCTGGGCTTAGGGGAAGTTCCTCCCTGGTCCTAAAGGTGAAGCCCCGACCTCCACCTTCTTTCTGACTCCTAGAGACCCAGGTCAGGATTAAGCTGGAAGGTTCAGGGGTGCAGGCTCCTGAAGGACTCCTGTCTGTGTTTTCTTCCCTTTTTGATCTGGCTGAGTGTCTCCTGGGGGAGAAATTAGAGGAGGAAGAGTAGGGCTGGATCCAGGAGCACTTTGATTGTCCTGGAGAGGATGTTGGTCTTCATCCTGAGCCCACAGGGCTGCTCAGGTTTGGAAGCAGCTGGCGATGTCCTCTAACACATCAATGAATGGCACCTGGAGGGGCGAGGTTGCCTCCAAGTCCGAGAGAGGTGACCATGACCAAGAAGGCCAGTGACCCAGGGGCTTGCGGGGAGAAGTGAGTTTGGGCAGACTTGGCTGCCACCAGGAGGGTGGGAGCATGGAAAGCAAAGGGAGTGAGGGGTCAGGCTTGCATGTGGGTGTGAGAAGCAAGGAACTGAGACAGAAGATCCTGGAGGAAGAGCAGATGGAGGGTTGAGATGTCCAGCCTGGGACATGCAAGGTGTGAGGCATCTATGACACCCGGGGAGATGGCTCCGCGGTCCTCAGTGTGAAGAAGGTGCTGGATGAAATCCCTTTGGGAGCCTGTGTGCCGAGACCTGGTCCCTGGGGACAGCAGTGGCAGGAGCCCCTTCCCAGCTGCCTGTTCCCTTTCACAGTGCATTTCTGCACAGGAAATTCAGTACCTTTGCCGTCCACTGGATCCACCAGTGGGTAAAGTAGCTTCAGAGGGTCTATTGCTTCTTTCCATTTGCATGTGTCTTCAACTCTTACCGTCTGTGGCTTTGAAAAACCCTGTGATGAATCATATGAAACATTGGGCATGCATTTTCATTATTAAGATCATGAAACCATCAGGCCTGGCTGCATCATCCCTTCTTACTCTCACCTTGTTGGCTTTTGCTTTGTGACTGTAACAAGAGACAAATAAGAGGGGTTCTCAACTCCAAATCACATTTGTGCTCCATCGCCCAAGCATATTATGCCGGGTGCATTTATGATAATGTGTGTTTCTGTATAGTTTAATGTTTTCTTTTTTCTTTTTGACAACTGAATTCTTTGCATGTCACCCATAATCTATTTTCACATCTGTGAGAATTTTTTTGCCTTATGGAGATCTATGATTGTTTTGACTGAGGTATATTCTTCAGTGGAATGCATAAGATTTATTGTTGAAATGTTTCACCTATCCATATTTTATTGAAATCAAAAAGAAAAACTTTTTTCTTAGGAAAGACATTGAACTGTTACGAACAATAGTTGCATTTTTGCGACGAGAACCCACATCTGGCACCACACTCCTGACTACTAACGTGTGCCAGGGCCCCATGCAGTACTCGGGACTCTAGGACTTCATTCCCTTGACTTGGAAAGAAGACTCTCTTCTCAGAAGTCCGGGGAAAACCGGGCCAACTAAAGCAGCCCTTGGGGCAGGCCGGCCGCCTTGGACATGACTCCTGAGCATCAGTCTGCACTGCGAGTTTCCCAGAGTCTCCCCAAGCATGTCAGTGGGTTGGATGTTAATAAAACGTGGAATGATAAACTGACCCAGAAAGGAAGGAACTGAAGAAACAGTATACAAAACTAAGTCAAAACAGGGGAATCAAAACCAGTCCATCTCCACATCTGCTATCACAGCTTCCTTTATAGGGCTCTCTTTTAGAAAGAGAGAGTATAGCATTAGTTTTCATGACATTGAACTTGAATTATGCCGAAACAAAATAGGAAAACCAGATTATTTGCAAAGGCCCTCAGGGATACAAGATACAACTGTGTAATGAAGGCCGACTTTTAAAATGCTTCACTTTTGAAAAATGTACTTTTTGAGTGGAAAAGTTCTAAATGTTTTCTTGTTAAAGGGAAGCATAATTACAGGAATAGTTGAACCATTCACGGTCAAGTATTCAAATGAAACAAGCAAGCAAGCAAACAGTAATCACAGCACATGAATTTGTGGTTCCTGGAAGTTGGGAAAGGCAGATGGCATTCTCTTCCCATCCCTGCGGGGACATCTCCATCTTGTGGGCCTTTGCAGAAATTGGTGGCTGGGATAAAGAGCCCGAGAATGTGTGGGGAAGCTGGGACCAAGGAGCTAAGACTAGGAGCATGAGAGCCTGTGGTGCTGAGTGCTGGCTTCTCCTTCCAGCCCAAACTCCCCCTTGTGGGACCTCATGCCCTGTGACCTGCTTGCACACTGGTGTGGTCACTCCTCCCTCAGATTGATGGTGTCTGTGTCCATGTGTTTCTACCTCTTTTCCGGGATGTTAGCTCTTGCAGTTCTTACTTGCGTGGCAGGACTGCTGACGATGGCCCTGAGTGAATTTGCTGCTACCTGTGTCTTCATCCCGACTTCCTCCTTCATGTGACTGTCTGTTCTGTGTGTGTTTTGTCTTCCCCTTCTAGTTGACTTTGGCTTTTATCATTTCTTCCTCCACTAGTATCTCCCTGTGCCTTGAGGTTCTACTTGTCTGGTTTTCAGATCATTGCTTTTTTTCAAATATATGACCCATGTGTTTGTCTGGATCCCAAATACTTGTTGGCTGTGGTCCATCACTTGATCTGCACAGTACTTTTTATTTATTTATTTATTTTTAATATATTTTTATTGACTTCAGAGAAGAAGGGAGAGGGAGAGAGAGAGATAGGGACATCAATGATGAGAGAGAATCATTGATCAGCTGCCTCCTGCATGCCCCCCACTGGGAATCACACTTGCAACCCGGGCATATGCTCTGACTGAGAATTGAACCGTGACCTCCTGGTTCATAGGTCGACGCTCAACCACTGAGCCATGCTGGCTGGGCTACACAGTACTTTTTAAATTTCGTGTCAGTGGAGTCAAGAGCCCCACTGTCCAATGGGGCTGTAGGTAAACTTTTTCTTTTAAATTGATCAAAGTATATTTTTAAAAATCACTGGGAAAAAGCACGGAAGATGGGATAAAATCATGCCTTTTTGTGTGATCACAGTTAATGGTACCCAGTTCACTACTGCCAGCAGGAAATAAAGGCTATCAATGCGGACGATTCCCTACCGTTCAAAGAAGCCACGAGCCTGTGCTGAGCTGCCCAGCAAGCAGGCCCCCCTCCCCCCCTTTGGCGGCTGCTACTCCCTGATAGCAATCTCGTTACAGACAAGGAGTTCCTGTAAGGCACAATGTGGTCCTGATTAATTGATCGTGTTACATCCAAAGTGCAGAGGAGAAGCACCGGTCAGTTGACAGAGTGAGTTTACAATAGGGTCTGGCTCCCTGATGGCAGTTTTATGTAACAACTGTGGGCGTTGGGAACCAGGGCTCTGGCTCAGCCCTCTGCCTGTGGGCGCCTAACAGATGCTAGAGATTCTTCGTCCCACATGTATTTTGAATCTGACTCCTCCTCATCGTTCCTACGACCACAGATTTAGTTCCAGACCTACGTCATGCCCAGACTCTGCATTGCAGTGGTGTATGTCTTCTATCCTTTCTGAAATGCACATCTGAGCAGGTGACTTTTCCTGCTTAGAAACCGTGAATGACTCCCAACTGCCTATGGACACAGCCCAGCTGGTTACCATCGCCTGGAGGACGCTTCATGTTTGGGTCCTGTATGTGTCTTCCAGCTTTCCCCCCACCTCTCTGTCCTTTAGCCCCCCGGGAATGTCCCGTGAACACAGCAGGCTCTCCTGAGGCCCCTTTCTTCGTATGTGCTCTGCCCCGTGGCTAGCTTCCTCCTTTCTCCATTTGTTCGATTCCGTGGCATCCTCTAAGACCCACCCATCCTGTCAGAGGCTCTGACTTCTTCAGCCAGAATGAACATCTTCTTGGGTCCAGGTTCCGCTATGTCAGCTCTCAGCCCTTTAAATCCTTATGTGTCTATCCATTTGTTTCTTGGGGTTCACAACCTCCAGGGGTCCGTGGCAGTGAACCTGGGTCCCACAAAGCCTCAGGATGAAAATGCTTCAACTTCCTGGACTGGCCATTTGATTAGAAGATTTGGGGGAAATCTTTATTAAGACAGACAGGACAATGCTTAGGAGCATCCATGTTCACTGGAAGTGTGGAGAGGTGTTTTGCTTTTGCAGAGTGCACTTTGTGCTGGTCCCACTTTCCCTGTTTTCTGCCTTTAGGGCTCTTTACTCTCAGGCAGCAGCCCTTTCTGTCTCTTGCATGTGATTCCCCAGGCTCCTGCTCACTGCCCTGCCCTGCCCTGTACCACTTTGCCAATAACCAGGCGAACAAACGTGAGTTTTCTTCCTTTGGAAAGTGGAATTGGATTTTTTTAACTAGACAGTTCTCTCACCCTATTTACCTAAAGGATGTACAGAGCAGCCGTAATAGGTGTGTATTATAATTCTGTTTGCAAGTGAAAGCAGCATGTGTGACACTTAGCATTTGGTGAGATCTGTAACAAGAAAGTGCAACTATCACAGACCAGAATTCCTACACCCGCAGAGCTGGAGACGGTACAGCTCATTGGTGCTGTAAGCTGAACCCTGTGCCATCACTCGGCTGTCACGGCCCCCGATGGCCAGCTTTGCAGTTGTCCTTGGCTACAGTGGTTTTGCACTGGTGGTGTATAAAGGTTACGGAGCAAAAAGAGGGAGATTTCTTCTTTCAGAAAATGTATTCCTGGGTTCCTGATATTTGTTCTCTTATCTCAGTTCCCCACTCCTTACCTCAAAGCCCAGCAATGAGTGAGAAGCTTTAGTGGTATAATGGAAGAGACAGAATTGGGGATAAATTTGGTGTGTAGATAGTTACACACACTTAGAATGGTAGATAGATACCCCTCCTTCTCTTTCTCATTCAATAACCTTTGAACAATGCCAGTAAACAATGCCATTGTAGCCAGTGACAGCTGGAAACCTGGCCCTTGGGGCTGAACACACACACACACACACACACACACACACACACAGTCACAAATATTACTCATATATTTCTTTATTTTTATTTATTTATTTTTTTATGAGTTCTTTTTTTTAAAATATATTTTATTGATTTTTTTACAGAGAGGAAGGGAGAGAGATAGAGAGTTAGAAACATCGATGAGTGAGAAACATCGATCAGCTGCCTCCTGCACATCTCCTACTGGGGATGTGCCCGCAACCCAGGTACATGCCCTTGACCGGAATCGAACCCGGGACCTTTCAGTCCGCAGGCCGATGCTCTATCCACTGAGCCAAACCAGTTTCGGCAACTCATATATTTCATTCAGAAAATACTGAGTGCTCACAATGTGCCAACCTTGTGCTTGGCATGGGAATCTGACACTGATCTATTCTGACCCTCCCCCTGATGTCATGAGGGTCACATGGCCACAGAAACAGAAGATAAGCACACCATCCGCACATATTGAGTTCCCATTGTAGTAAACACGGTGATGAACCTTCGCAGACAAGCTGGAGGGAGAGGAGTCAGGCACAGATGGCCCATCCTCCCAAGGGACATCTCTGGTGAGAAGTCTGGGAAACTGAGTCTCTAACACAGGGGACCTCAAACTTTTTAAACAGGGGTCCAGTTCACTGTCCCTCAGACCGTTGGAGGGCCGGACTATAGTTTAAAAAAAAACTATGAACAAATTCCTATGCACACTGCACATATCTTATTTTGAAGTAAAAAAACAAAACGGGAACAAATACAAAATTTGTATTTGCATGTGGCTCGCGGGCCGTAGTTTGAGGACCCCTGCTCTAACGTAAGACAACTTGCAGTTTGCCTCTAGGTTTGCCCAGTGGGCAGGTGAGAGTATGTGCAGGCGGGAAGGTAAAGAGGGAGATGAGAGAATAGAGTGAGTTTACATCTTCCTTAAAACATGGTCCTGAGATCCATGGGAGACTGTGTCTGGGAGAAGCTTGGTGCTTAGAGCAGAGGTAAGTGCACAAGGGAGGGGAAGCTGGCCTGCAGTGGAGAGGAAGTGAAAAGATGGAAAGGATGGGCCTCAGTCTGGGCCAGTAAAGCCTGGAAACCGTAGGACATGAGGTGCTGGTGGGAAAGGTGCTTTTGGAAGCTGCCAGGGGAATGGTTTAATTATGAAGCCAAACAGGGTGGACATGGAGCTGGGTGAGTTCTGCTGAAGGACTCACATGGTCTTGGCCAGGAGGGTGGAGGGTTAAGAGGGAAGGGGCAGGAATTGCCGCATGCCCGGGGCAGGAGCCTGCAGAAGGGCCAGTGGACAGGCCAGAGTGTGATGCCAGCCACGCCTGGAAGAGCAGCTTCATGCTTGATGCGTGAGCCAGCACAGTAAGGTGAGGTTGCATGTGGGGCCCGTCTCCACAGCAGCTGTGGGAGCCCAGCTGTGCCCTCCCATGGTGGGGAGGCTTGGCTCTCACCGACAGTGTGCGGCAGGCTGCAGAGAAAGCACATGGAAGCCTGGAATCAAGGTCCTGTCTCGGATGGCAGATGTCCCAGGATGGCAGCAATGGGGATGGGGAAGACCTGTTTCTTGGGGTTTGCATTTTTCTCATGATTAGAGATGCAGAGCATCTCTTCATATACCTGTTGGCCATCTTTGGAGAAAGGTCTCATCGATTCCTATTTCAGTACCTTTAATCGTAGGCCAACCCACTAAAACATGAACTCATTATACCTTTAGGTCATCACTGAGTGGTCTTCTCACATCATCCTTTAGGCAGCACCAGGAGTCCCTGGCAGCCGAGAGAGAGAGGCGGCGGCAGGAGAGAGAAGAAAAGTTGCCTGTTTCTTGGGGTTTGCATTTTTCTCATGATTAGAGATGCAGAGCATCTCTTCATATACCTGTTGGCCATCTTTGGAGAAATGTCGGTTCAGATCTACCCAATTTTCTTTTTATTTCTTTTTTTTTTTTTTGCTGTTGAGTTATACAAGCTCTTTATACATTTTGGATGTTAGTCCCTTCTTATATATATGATTTGCAAATACTTCCTCCCATTCTCTAGGTTGCCTTTTCCTTTAGTGGATGGTTTCTTTGCTGTGCAGAATGCTTAGTATTTTAAACACAACACCATTTTGTCCTCCCAGTGTCTGTGGCAGGTTACTTACCTCCACTTAGAGATGGAGATCCTGAAACAGAAGACCTGAGATGCTCGGGGATTTTCCCCAAGCACTCCCTAGGTTCCGGCGGACCCTCAGTTCTAACCAAGGTCTGATCGATTCCTATTTCAGTACCTTTAATCGTAGGCCAACCCACTAAAACATGAACTATTATACCTTTAGGTCATCACTGAGTGGTCTTCTCACATCATCCTTTAGGCAGCACCAGGAGTCCCTGGCAGCCGAGAGAGAGAGGCGGCGGCAGGAGAGAGAAGAAAGGTTGCAGAGAATAGAACGGGAAGAAAGGAACAAGTTCAGGTAAGAGGATTTTCCGATTTCTAAGATAATGAATTGAAGTGAAAGTGCCTGCCTTCACAGCTCTGTATGATTAATAATGGTGTTATAGAGTTAGGGCCTGCCGGCTGCCAGACAGAGCCAGCTGGACGGGGCCTACCAGACGGGGGGAAGGACCAGGGGAGGTTGGCTGGCTGTGAGAGGTTGGCTGTGGGAGCGCACTGACCACCAGGGGGCAGCTCCTGCGTTGAGCATCTGCCCCCTGATGGTCAGTGCACATCATAGCAACTGGTCAACCAGACATTCTGGTCATTCAGTTGTAATGGTTGCTTAGGCTTTTATACATATAGATATGAATAACCCATACACAATAGTGTGGTTAAGGCCTGGGAGGGGTGGGTGCGGGGTAGAGGGGATCAATGAGGAAAAAAACACACAAAGGGGACAAACACACAAAGTATTGTTGTGATACTTTCAACAATAAAGACAAATTTAAAAAAATAAAAAGTAAAGCAGAATAACCAGAAAACATTACCCTATGTAAAACTTATTTTTTAAAAAGATAAAGTTGAACTAATTTTAGTAAAAAATAAAATAAGGACAGAGAACCTAATTGTCTTAAATTAACTTGCTATTTCCCCCTAAACTATTCATGTTTTATTCATATTCTATTGGATGCCTAAAAGAAAATGTTTTTTTCACTTTCTGGTTTGCTTTTTGTTCCCTGTAGCAATCTTTAATTTTTAAATAAAACCAATAATCTTCCCCTACAGGGTAAAGAAAGGTCATTGTGCTGATTACTCCCAGGACATTGTCCCCCAATCTCCGGGTCTCTGTTCAGCTCCAAGAATATGTCCCTGTGTGTAGCCCACGCCAGGTTCCAAGTCTTAGCCTGTGTGGCTGCTGAGTCCAGTGTTGCTCAGTGTTCAGCCAGGTCACCTGTTCTCCCATCCTCACCTCCAGTCACTCCCCTGCCCTGGGCTTCATGCTGTGCAGCGCTTTATGGAATGTGCCGAGTCTGTCCTTACACATCTCATTCCTTCCATTTATTCTTTGCTCCCTCCTTTCCCTCCTTCCTACTTGCCTTCTCCTTATCTCTCCCTTCATCTTCCCAGTCACCTCTCCTATAGCTTCTATATTCTTCTTCTTTTCATTTCTCTCCCCATCTCCATTTCCTGTTGCCTCCGTTCAGTTTCTTTGGCAAACAATCTTCCCATCAATTCCTCCCAGTTACACCTACAAAGAATGTAGCGCATTGTTAGTGAGGCTTTACAGGTTCAAGAACTTCTTTGTCAGCAGCCAGGAAGAGTATGTGTAATTGTAGAAATGATCAAACTATGAGCAGAGCTGTGAGGTTGCCATAACTGTCACTCACTACTATGTGAAAACAAATATCCCATGTCTGTGTTGAAATGCTGATCCTGGCTTTGGTAAGACTGGGTTAATGGGCTGCGTGAAGTAAGACAACATCAGCCCCCATGTGATCGGGTGGCATGCCCTGAGCTGTCAGGTTTCTACCATGTGATACATGGAAATGCCACACTTGAATGAACCCTTCTCACGATGTAGCTCTGGGGGGTGTCTCTTTTGGAAAGACCAATTTCTAAAAACCACTTGAACAGGTTAAAGGCTTCCTGTGTCAGGGCTTTCTGGGAGATTTGCATAAATAGCAGCAGAGAATCTTGCTGAAACACCTGGAAAATTTAGAGATTAGCTTACCCATCTAAAGATTTTGATTGAAAACAGGTCCAGGGTCCTGTCTCTTCTGCCCCTCCGGTCTCTGCATGCACCAAAAATCGTGGACAAGTGTGTAGAGCTCTGAAAACTCCCTGGTGTGTAGAGAGCAGGAGGTTTGGAGGAGGAGACTAGCATTCACTGTCCCACCTAACCACTGAAAGTTTACCGTTTTCCCTTTTCCCTCCGCTATCACCTGGCTCACACCCCAAAACCCAGGGGCACGTACCAAGTGTGCATTGACAGCTCTGGGAGGAGGCCCCTCCTTTGGGCTGAAGGGCGGTAGGAGGAATTCCTAAGGGTCAGAGAGTGGAGAAACTCTGGGGTTTTTTTTCATATTTTCTCCTTCTCTCCTACCCCACCGTCCAAGCAATGTTGTTTTAGAAGCCCCTGTATAGCAGCAGTGTCCAGGTAGGGGCCTAAAACTCTGACCAGAAGAGCTATGACCCTGAGAGCACTAGGCACATCACCATTCTTCTCTCTGTGTCCTGCTGCGTTGCCTGGGTGTGGATGGAGTCACTGAAAGTGTGCAGCAGGGCAGGGAAAAGAAAGCCCAAGCTTTCTGGCTGGAGGACCAGGACAGGAAACCAACCCAAGGAAGCCAGGAAGTGATAGGAAAGCATAGAGAAATCAAGAGAGTACTGATTTGTGCAGGGGTGGCTCACAACCTAAACAGCAAGCCGCAGACTGAGAACTAAGTACTGACGAACCACTGCTCAGGTCCTAGACTGGCCACTGGGTGGTACACATAGGGCTTGATTTCAATAGCACTAAAATATTTTTAAATTGAGCTAATATTGGAACTAATATATAAAGACAGTCAGCACTTGTAGGCTGAACCTAACTTAGTTGTTTGCCTTCTAAAGGAAAACAAAAGAAAACAAGCAAGGTTCTTCATAGAATGTAAATAAGACCCAGAGTCTCTTTGCAAATATTTAAAAATATGCAGAATGCAATCCAAAATAACTTGTCATACAAAGAGCCAGGGCAAATCTTAACTCAGAAGGAAAAGAAACCAAAATATGCTAACCACAAAAGGATGCTGTCTTTATCAGACAAAGACTTTAAAGCATTTATTATAAACAGGCTCTAAGAAGGAAGGGCAAATGATTTTGAAACAAATGAAAAGTGAAGTCTCTGCAAAGAAATAGGAGATATAAAGACGAACTAAGTGGAACTGAAAAACACAACCACCAAAACAAAAAATTCATTGGTTGGGCTTGATAGCTGAATGGAAATGAAGAAAAAAATCAAAGACTTTTAGATAGAACAGTAGAAATTATCCAATCTAAGAATCAAAACAAAACATTGAAAAAAAATGAACAGTTCCTCAGGGACCCATAGAATAATTCCTAAATGTGTACCATTCATGACATTGGAGTCCTACAAGAGTACATAGTGCATTGCAATACCTAAGTCATTATGTTACAATATATATAATATATATGACATGTAACAAAAATATATATCATAACCAGAATCTCTCTGTGTTCTTAAATAACAAATGAGATCCATTTGGTACCAAGGGCAAAGAGTGAACAGCTATGAGCATGGTCTCTGAAGATGGATTGTCTGGATCTAATTCTCACTCTGTCAATAGATATAGATAGATAGATAGATAGATAGATAGATAGATAGATAGATAGATAATAGATAGATAGATGATAGATATAGATAGATGATAGATAAAGATAGATGATAGATATAGATAGATGACAGATAGGTAATAGATAGATGATAGATATAGATAGATATAGATATAGATAGATGGTAGATGATAGATAGATACATGATAGATGATAGATAGATGATATAGATAGATGATAGATATAGATAGGTGATAGATATAGATAGATAGATAGATAGATAGATAGATAGATAGATAGATGATAGATAGATATAGATAGATAGAAAATATTAAATAAACCTTATCCAGGAAGGAATGGTGATCATCAGGACAGACCACACACAACTATTAATTATAATGATGGCAGTTTCTTCCTAAAAGTCTGAGGATGTGAATGAAAAGAAATTCAAAAGAGGAAACAGGAAGAGCTTTATAAAGTAGTCCCTGGGAACACCGGAATGGCTGACCTTTCACCACCCATTACATTGATTTAAGTTGTTCATGCTCCTGTGCCTTTTCCCTTGCATTCCATCTAAAAGTTGTTCCTTATCTGCTGCTATTTTTATTGAATATGCTCTTAAACCTCTTGGGTTATGGAAGAATTTCTTTCTAGTATGAAAAGTGATGAGGATGGATGTTTATAAATGATAACAAATTTGAGCCTCTGTTGCTTTTTCTCCCTCTCCTAACTTGTTTCAGTTGCTCTGACTCACTGCTCCTTTATCTCCAGTTGCCAGGGCATCGAGGGGTAAAATGCTCAAACTATGTTAGGCCCAGTGTAGAAAACCATAATGCCAGAATTCTCCAGGAAAATAAATGGTGTATTGGGAGGTGACTGATCACACAATCTTAAGCTTAGGTTCACGTTGGGACCTCACCAGCAGGAATAGAAAAACAAACATTAAAATTGGTCAAAATTGGGCATCTCGTGGGTACAGGCTAAAGAGAATGCATGGAGCGAGAGCCTCCAGGGATCCCTGCAGAGAGCCAGAATGTGAGGGGCACAGAGAGAGATCCTGGGCTGTAGGAGCAACGTCCAAGCTGGGGAGCGCAGCGACCCTCAGAGCCACTCAGATTTAATTCTTGGGGTGGAAGTTGTGGTGCTACCAGAGCTTGACTGAATGCGAATCGCCTCTAAAAGCTATGGCTTGCTTGTCATGGCCATACTTTATTTATGTATTGTTTCACCTTTAAAAAATATTTTTCTTCTCCCTTCCCCCACTAGGCATGCATTCTTCTTTCCAAAGAGTAATTGGTCATGTCCATGAGTGAATCCAACAATCCTATGATTTCGGACTCCTGTGACTTTATAGGAGATCCATTATATTTAGTGCTTTTAAAGCATAGTCTTTACCCTTGGTTTTTAAAAATTCAACTACAGCCACTTTCCATTTCCAAGGCAATAGTGGGCTTTCATTATATACTGTTAGCAATCTTATGAGCAATAATTCTGTTCTTTTTCTTCCCTATTTTGTTTCCTCCATCTATTTTCAGTAGCCGAGAGTATTTAGACAAAAGAGAGGAGCAAAGACAAGCAAGAGAAGAAAGGTTTGTATCTCTCTTCTTCCCCATGTAACCAAACCGCACGTGACTTGGCACTCCTAACCAAGCATGCCGTGGAAACTGTGTGAATTAAAATATCACAGCTTTCCCTAAGAGACCTGAGACCTTTGGTAATTGGCGTTTTGTAGAATAAGTGTCAGGTTATCTACATTTTTCAAGGAAGTACAGGTTTCTGATTTAGAGTCATCATGGTGTGAAATATATGTCTGCTCCAAAATTCTTCTACAAGTGAGCACATTGATTTGTATATTGACCTGTGGAAGATATTTCCCATATCCTGTGCCACCACTACTGAGCCTACATGAGGTGTCCCTGCTGCATGTTTCTAGGTCACATGCTCAGCATACGGGCAACAAATATTTGACCACACGCGCTATGCCGGGCCCTGGCTGGGGGGCCCACACCCACCTGAGACACTCACCGAATGTGCCTGTCACTTCCCTGTCTCCCTCCTGAACAGCACTCAGGTCCCTGGTGGCAGGAACCATGCCTGGTTTTCCTGGGTTGTCCCAGTGCCTGCCACAATCCTTTGCACATATTCGACACTCCGGAAAGATGCATGGAATAAATGAGCAAATAAACGGACAGCTTTCTTTCAAATATCTAAGCTGTAAACCAGTTTTTAAAATTTCAGTGGCAACATACTTTTAACCCCATTAATAGATACAAAGTTAATGTGCTCACTGTCTGATTAATTTAGATAAGCATGTTTTGGGAAGTAGAACAGTGAAAAAGACCAATTTTTGCCCTGTAGCCCTGCAGTTATTCCGTCCACCACCAGGTGGGGTTACTGCACGGAGAAATGGAAATGCTGGTTTCAGACCAGAGCCAGCTGGGAACCTAACAATATTTGAACGTTGCCAATAAAAAATGGAATTGTGCTCATTTTTTTTTTTAGACACCATCAGCTAAATAGGTCAGGACAGACTGGGGCATAGAGGAGTGGAGTCTGCCTATGTTCAATTTAAAAATTAGGTGCTTAGGTCAGCCTCATGAATAAAACATTCGATTATTGCCATCCTCATCACCAGTGTGGACAGCAAATGTAGCGTGAAAGATGCTGGTAAAGAAACACACTTCTCTTTCTCTAATTTGTACCATTTAAAAAAATACATGTATTTTTATTGACTTCGGAGAGTAAGGAAAAGGGAGAGAGAGAAACATCAGTGAGAGAGAATCATTGATCGGCTGCCTCCTGCACAGCCCACACTGTGGATCGAGCCCACAACCCAGGCATGTGCCCTGACAAGGAATCAAACTGTGACCTCCTGGTTTATAGGTCGACGCTCAAGCACTGAGCCGCGCTGGCCAGGCCATACCATTTTTTTTTTTTTACATTGGTGGACATGATCTATACTTTTACTGGAAATGCTGTTGACTTTGTGCCCAAGCTTAAGAAATCCAATTTTATCTTGTTTTTTAGCATTCCCTCCAGATGTTGCACTTTTTTGAGGTTTTGGCCGCATGGCTGTCGGGCTCAACCGGCACAGGCACGGCTGGAAAGCACTTGGGGAGGTGTCAGGTCTGACTGGCTCAGACTGACCCCAGAATTTTCCAAACCACCAAAGGCTACCTGTTCCCGGATATTATTTACGGTTCTTTTCCCCAAAGCAGAACATCACTTATGCCTGGAGAACGTGTGCAGAGGAGTTTGCCACTCCTCTCACTCTGGCCCAACATTCCCTCTCTGTCACTCACCTGTCTGGGCCTCTTAGCTGGGCAGGAGCGGGCTCCCTGTGGCCCCGTGGGAGGGCCTTTTCTTACAGCCCACCTCTCTGTTTACATGGAGGTTTGAGGGAAACATCCAAACCTTTTCCTCTGGTTTGGACCTGCCACTTCGGTTCACCTGCCTCTTGAATTAGCTGCTGAGGATGGGGGTGAGGGAGCGATGCCTTCATCCCTGTTTGGAAAGCTGCTGGGGGTGAGCCAGGAAAAGATAAGACTTGCAAGTATAACGGACTTCAGAAATAGATGGGGAAGCTGGTGGAGGTGAGAGGTGGAAAGAGGTTCAGAAATAAGGACAAAGACTCCGTCTGTTAACTCTTCCTGAGAGAAGCACACATGTGTGTGGGGTCCATGTTCCTTACTTCCCAGACACTTTTCATTTTGTAAAACTGAAACGTTCTATCCATTAAACAAGTCGCCATGTCCCCTTCCCTGCCATTCTTATCTACCACATACACACCCTTGGGACAATTCAGATTAAACCTGTGACTCTGCCCATGGCTTCTGGATCCCGAGGATGGCACCTGTGAGACAGGAATAGTCTTTGAGTCGTATATACCCAGCCTCTGAGTGAGGAACCCCTGGGGTCTCCCAGGAAATAGGGTGAGTCCTTTGGCTGCTAGCACATGCCTGCCAGCCTCGCTGCCCATGGACGGGGTTTGCAGAGGCCAGGACCAGGGCCGGACCCAGTGAAGTGTGAAGGTCATAAATGGGCCGTTGTTACTGTTCTCTCTGCCCTCTTCTGATTCTGCTGAGCACAACTTTCCTGCTCGTGATCTCCAGTCTCTCGGGCCTGTGCAGGTCCCCTAATTTGCATGTCATTCCTTGCCTGTCCCTTTCTCCTGTCGCAGGCTCGGATGCACAGACTCCTGGGCTGCAGCTTTTCTGGCCTTGCATTCACCACTATCTCATTAAAATATGCCTCCTAAGGGCTCTGACCCTCAAGACCACTCTCTCCCAAGATTCCCATCCCCTCCAAGCCCAGTGGTTTTCCCTTGCTGGTCAGAATTAAGTTCAGAAATACTTTTCTTTGGTCTCCTCTCCTGCCTTTTGAGAGGTGACCTCGTTGGCAAGAAAAGCCCAGAGTTTCCAAAGCTTTCTCTCTGGACCCAGCGTCCCCACCCTTCACGGTGAGGCAGCTGCCCTCGGAGCCAACCTCAGACATTTATATATGTGCAGACCTACCGCACCTTTTATCAGCGATTCACGTGTGAGTCAGCTGCCTCTCCAAGAAAGTGAAGTGGGTGCGTCCCCCCATTGCACCCCGTGCTTCAGGGGACCTCTGCAGGTGGGGTGCTGGCCCTGCAGGTGGGGTGCTGCCCTGCACGGTTCTCACTGCGCACTTTGCTCACCTCCCGTCAGCTGACAAGTGCAAGGCACCGAGGGAAAGAACAAAGGAGGGTAACCTTCCTGTTCTCAAAAATCCTATTATCTGCTTGTTGAAAACAGCCATGCACATGTGAAAAGATGACTAAGTATGCCAGGCAGTAAATGTAAAATGCCATCTGAGCTGAATGGGCTACATATCCGACATGAGTTCCGAGGCAAGGCCCCCGATCGCTTCCAGCTGTGGTGGCCAAGGCAGCCTCATGGGAGGCGTGCGTGTGAGCCTGGCCCGAGGCGGGCTGCCGCTGGACTGGCAGGGAGGAGGTGATGATGACAGATGGGAGCCACGCCCACCTTAAGGATGAATGAAGAAGTGCATGCTTTCTAAATGCATTTTTTACAGGTCTCGTATAGGTGCCCCACCTTTCTTATCCAGGTGAAATGGGAGTGCCATCTGGGGGCGATGGTGGGCCAGAGCTGGGCGCTTGCCTGTTGGGGGGAACTGAAGCAGTACATCTGGGTGGATGTGAGGGAGGGTCTTGAATAAGCTGTTTCAAAGTCTGGTGGTGGGTAAGATAGTCAGAACCCGGCTACAGCTGGGCCCATAAATTTATTTCTGAACAAATAATGGTGGGTAAAATTAGCAGACATCTGGAAGAGGCACATATTTCAAAGTTATTTTGGTCTGATCTATAAAGCGCACCATGCAGAATATGATTGGTAGCTGGTCTTAATAAACAGTTAGTGGGTTCTGCCTGCCTGAAATGCAAAACAGATGTATCTTTGTTCTTTTAAACTGACTTTGATGAATAAACTATATGTGACGTCAGGTCCAAGCTATTGGATGTCTGAGTCCGACTCAGAAATATTTTAGAATATAAAAAAGTTTCCATGGTCGACACCGGGAGAACAAAGTGAATTCCAGTCGCATTGCTGTGAGCATTGAAGCAGGTTCAGACATTCAGGGAGGCCTTGGTCCAACACCCCCTTTTGGTATTTGGGGGGCACTGTTTCTCTCTGCCACACAAGGGCACCCTCCCATTTCACAGCTGTGAGCTCCGAGGGTGTGTGGTTTTCAGCTGTCACTGTGGGGCCTTTTTGATGGTCATTACTGTTGTTTTGCTTATTTGTACAAATGTTTCCTAAAAGAGCAAACCAGGATTCTGCAGCCGCGAGCCGGTGTCTGGGGACTGTGTGATGTGGCCACCTCCCACCCGCCCCCCTCCCCGGCTGTTTGGTTGTGCCTGATGCGGGATGTTTAATCACTAGCGTCTTGGCTTCGCTGGGCGTTCCTGGCAAGCGGGCCCTCCAGCCAGCCCCGCGCTGTGCTCGGCATCAGGAAACCAGCTCTCTCTGCAGGTGTTTCGTCCATAAACAAGCATCAGCCACGGGCTCCTCTTTCTTTTTACGGAAACCCTTTGGAATTTCACTTTCAGATACAAATACTTGGAGCAGTTGGCAGCTGAGGCGCACGAGAAGGAACTGAGAAGCCGGAGCGTGAGCCGGGGCAGAGCTGACCTCTCCTTGGACCTGACCTCACCAGCCGCCCCCGCCCCTCTGAGCCCTGGCCCTTCATCTCTAGACTCACAAGGGGCTCTCCCTGGAGCATCGTCCTCCCCGGGAACACCTCAGCATCCCCAAGGTGAGTGCTGGGAGAGGGGAGGGCTCATTAGCACCAGAGGGCTTTTTCTGGGCAGTAGTAACCATTCCTACGTTCAAACGAACACTGACAGTCAGCTAAGGCTAGGCTTAGGGGGGACTGCAGCCTGGGCTGCCACAGGTGCAAGAGTGTGTGTGTTCAGACCACATCCATGAAAGCAAAGTTGTTGTAAAGATGGTCAGTGTATGGTCATTGAAAAAAAATTCCAAAGATAAGACTGACTTTGACATCTCATTTTAAATCACAGGTTTTTAACTTAGTTCTCTATCATTTGAATGTTATTTCTTTATTGGATCGGCCCCATAAAGTGGCCACTTTGAAATGTTCTTACCCGAGGGATTGTGGGTCTGGTTTAAATTAAACTGATGGAGAATAAAATTAAGCAGTGCAGGCAAAGAAAAATGTGGACCTCGTGAACATAGGCATTAAATGTCGAAGAAGAGAATAAAAAGGAAAATAGTAAAGATTACTGGCACGTGGCATGGGTGGAGGTGCGTGTGTGCAGACAGGCAGGCTGGCCCTGGAAAAATTCCCCGTCACCTTCGCTTTATTTGGGGGGAAACAAGGACATTGTGCACTGCAGCCTCAGAGCATCAGCTGCCTTGCTGGCTGCTCTGCACATTGTGGGTCCGTTTTCTTTCACTTTAGCAGAGGGGGTGGTTCTGGGCACAGGCGCCTCCACGGTGCCTGCTGGTTAACCCTGCAGCCAGCACCGGTGGGCTTACCGAGTATTGGGGTTTGCAGCCTGACAGAGATTCAGCCAACGGAGACAACAGAGACAGGCAACTCTTAACTCTAGGAGGGTTGCCTAAATATGGCGTCAAGTTTAATTTAAACAAGGCAGGACTCCGTGACCTCAGCAGAACTGGCTGTAACGGAACAGAACTGTCTGTGCGATTCTCCGCTGGCTCTCCCGGCCCCGGCTGCTCTGCCAGGCAGGCTGCCGCACTGGGGCCTTGCATCTCGGCCAGTCCTCCTGGTCCCTGAGCCGCGGAAAACCGTCCCAGGCAGATGGCTCGGTCATGGATGAGTAATGTCGGTCTTAAAATGTTGAGACTCTGAGAATCGGGAAAAATGACTGTGCTGTGACAACTCCGTGCTTCCCAAACCCTGCCTGATATCACTGCTCTGACTGAACTGGCAATATGAAAAACACTTCCCTGCAAAGGAATTCTGCACTTAATCTTAGGACCTTTCATGCTAATTGTTGTACCTCCAGAAGTTTGCAGAATGGTGGTCTCAACTGTGAAATACAGAGAGGCCTCAAGCTGAGAGGGAATTGTCAGTATCTCTAAATAGTCTTTGTCCTCAAAAATTTGAATCTAGTTGATATCTGTGGCAAAACGAGAGTTCCTTAAATATTTTGTCCAGTTAGAGTCAAACTGGAGGCTGTTCTAGCCAATGAAGAAGAACATTTTAAACTTCAGTAAGGACACAGAAAATAGTGTTTTGAGTACATACAATATGAAAACATAAAGTTATTTCAGTATGCTTTCAGAAAGATGAAAAGCAAATGTCAGCCCAGACCGTGTGGCTCAGTGGTTGAGCATTAACCTATGAACCAGGAGGGTTCATGCCTGGGTTTCAGGCTCGATCCCTAGTAGGGAAAGGGTAGCTAGCTGATCGATGATCCTCTCTCATCATTGGTCATGTTTCTATCTCTCTCTCCCTCTCTAAAATCAATATATATATATATATATATATATATATATATATATATATATATATATTAAAGCAAATGTCATCTTCCTCTACAAAGACTAAATTAATAGAGACTGAGCAAATGTTTGACTGAAATCATACAGTAAGTGACCTCTGCCTCTGAAAAAGGAATAGGAACTTGAATTTAGACATAATTACAGATTGATACAATAGCATTATGTGGTGTTTGCTTTTTTCTGAGAAAGAAAGCAGTAGCTCTTGTGCAATCTAAAAGAGCTGTCGGTCCCATGTTAGGTAATTTTCATCCAAGTCAGTTGGGACCAGTAAAGTATTCTAACCTTCTTGTCCTGATACCTAAGTGAATTATCCCATTGGAAATGATAAGTGTATTAGAGAATGGTTTCAGGGCGCCTTCTGCCTTGAGGACCTCCGCCCTTAGGACAGACATGCGAAGTTGGTATTACAGAAAGGGTTCCCTCAGCCCAGTCAGCCCAGTTGTTATTGTTCTTTGAAACATCCTAGCATCCTATTCTTTTTGTGATTTTCTTTTTTTCTTTTTTTTAATATATTTTATTGAATTTTTACAGAGAAGAAGGGAGAGGGATAGAGTCAGAAACATCGATGAGAGAGATCGATCAGCTGCCTCCTGCACAGCCCCCAGTAGGGATGTGCCCGCAACACAGGTACATGCCCTTGACCGGAATCGAACCTGGGACCCTTGAGTCCGCAGGCCGACGCTCTATCCACTGAGCCAAACCGGTTCGGCATTTTTTTTAAATATATTTTATTGATTTTTCACAGAGAGGAAGGGAGAGGGATAGAGAGTTAGAAACATTGATGAGAGAGAAACATCGATCAGCTGCCTCCTGCACACCTCCTACTGGGGATGTGCCCGCAACCAAGGTACGTGCCCTTGACCAGAATCGAACCTGGGACCTTTCAGTCCGCAGGCCGACGCTCTATCCACTGAGCCAAACTGGTTAGGGCCCATTTTCTTTTCTTGTTTTCTTTCCCTTCAGTTAATCCTCACCCAAGGATATTTTTTTCCATTGCTTTTTATAGAGTGGAAGGGAGAAATGGGGGTGGAGGAGAGAGAGAGAAACATCAATGTGAGAGAGATACCTTCCCTACCATATGAGCCCTGACCAGGGCTGGAGATCAAACCTGCAAAACAGGTATGTCTCCTTGACCAGGAATCAAACCTGTGACCCTTTGGTGCACGGGCTGATGGTCTATCCACTGAGCCACAGCGGCCAGGGCCCATTTCCCATTTTCAAATGATCAAAGTAATTTTTTGCTTATCCCTAACATTTACAATATCCCAGCATCTGGAGGAAGAATAAAAAAATATAATCACACATCCAGATGTTTGTCCTGCACCAAACACCTGGCATGATGTGGTCCAAATGTGCCAGGGGTTGACTCGCTTTTTCATTCTTTCACCTTGTGGAATTGTGTGATAATTCTGCCAGGTTCTGCCCCCTCCTCCCGAATACTAACTAGTTAATACCTTGTGCATCTGAATAAGTAACGGGGAGGCTAGTATCCCTCTCACCGAGTCTCAAAGAGGTGCTGGCACCCTGCTGGGAGTACAGCTATTGTTTTGGCGCTCAGCCCAGCCATTTCTCAGGGCATCGTGGTATCACAGTATTTGTGGTGGTGGTCTTCCCAGTATCTGCAATATCATGGCCTACATTTCAGAATTCTATTTACAAAAAAGAGGATTTTTTTTCTGTCTATTTGTTATCGAATTCTGTGTACCTTGGGATTAAAGGTCACTTCCTAGATTCTTTTGTTAAAACTCTCTACTCAGATTCTGGACAACTTTTAATAGCAAAAGATATGAAAATACCAAAAGCTTCTCTTACAAAATATGTTTTTAAAGAGGGAAGGGCTAATGGTAAAACACCCATAGCATTGTGTGCCATCTAGTGAGATCTCTCAGCCCCAAACCTTCCCAGCTAAATCGCTATAAGTTGTATGAATTGTGCCACTACCCCCACCCTCAGGTCAGTGTGTGCTTGAATTGTTTTTCCATCTGGTTCTCTTGTGGCTCATGGCGGATGTTTGTCCCAATACTGCCTAGAATTTAGTGGTGCTGGCCTGAATATTTTTTCTCTGTATGAAACTATCAGGCCCAAGTGAGGAAGAAACACATACATGTGTTTTCATTTGCATTATGACATAACTGACAGAGACGATCAGCCCAAAATTTAGGTAAACATGGAAGAGCCTATCTCTTCACCCATTGCTTTCATTATATTTTCCTTATTTCCCCTGAGCTCTGGGGGTATATGTCAGAATATCTATCTAATAAGTTTATTTTCTATTATTTCAAAAAACTCACAGATGACTCTAGGAACAAGTAAATTATTCTCACAGAGAAAAAGATGCAGCAGATGTGAAATAACATAGCAAGGTAACCTTTTATCCTAGCAGGTGTTAGATCTAGGTACCCTATTTCATGGAAATAGTGGAGAACACCACTCATCTCAAATGCAGGCATTGATGGTGGACCCAGGGTTGAACTACCCCTTGGAAGCTAGAACTGTGTTCCTTCCTTGCTGCTTGGCTCACGCACCCGAGTCCCTCCTGAGACTAGATAGAGACAGATGGCCTTTCCTGGTAGAAGGAAGCTGGTTATAAGTATCTTTCACCTACTAGTGACACCATGAAAGCATGTATAATGGCTGGATTATTTTTCTTAGTTTTAGTTTAGTTCTCTACAAGGTGGGGCAAAAGTAGGTTTACAGTTGAGTACATGAAACAATTTTGTATTAATATTTATTAATTATTGTATTATTTTCCATTTGAAAATAATAAACTGTAAACCTACTTTGCCCCACTCATGTTGCACACAGAAATAATGCTTTGGAGATGCATTTGAAAATTTTACCACACTATATTAATTTTTTTATCTGTATTGTTGAGAGTATTACAGATGTCCCCCATTTTTTCCCCTGCTGCCCCCTTCCACTTGGTTCCTGCCCCACCCTGGGCCTTCACCACACTATTGTCTATGTCCATGGATTATGCAAATATGCATATAAGTTCTTTGGTCAATAACTCCCTACCCCTCCACACCCCACTTCCTCTGAGATCCGTCAGGGAAAAATATGTTCAACACTTTTTTTTTTCTACCTATCATTGGATTTCTAGATATTTCCAAATATCTCATTGTTTGGCCATTAGAGATATAAACCGTGATGTATATGGCCATGTCCTACTCACCAGCATTTACCTGGAGGCATTCACAGAAATTGTTGACATGGTATGCTGATATTTTCTCTTAGATATTCTAGTGTTTAAAGTACTGGTCA